TATATATATATATATAAGTAATAAATAAATATAATTAATATAATCAATGAATATACTAAGTATAAAAAAGAAATATACATAAATAAATATAAATAAATATAAATAAATAGATATAAATAAATAAATAAATATAAATAAATAAATATAAATAAATTATTTGTATAAATATATTTTATTATTTATAGAGACAATATTGTTGCAACTCTATCCATACAATCAAACAAGCAGCAGCAGTAGCAGCAGCAGCAGCAGCAGCACTGACCCTGTCTGCTGCTGCTGCTGTTGCTGCTGCTGCTGCTGCAGCAGCAGCAAAAAGATTTACTCTTTTACATTGTTGCTGCTCCCTTTCCTTTGGGGAGCGACGATCCCCAGGAGACGATCCCGTGCCCACCGCAGCGCCCTCCCTCCTCTTCTCTTCCTATCTGCATGCGCGCAGCTGCTGCTGCTGCTGCTGCTGCTGCTGTTGCTGTTGCTGTTGCTGTTGCTGTTGCTGTTGCTGGCAGAATGCCCACACCAACCAGCAGTTTGGGGGCCCCCTGGGGGTCCCAGAGACATACAACCCTCAGAGGGGCCCCCAAGGGCCCCCCGACAAGATCTCGCTTGCGGGGCTTTCTGGTGGGGGCCTCCTGGATGGGCCCCCCCAGGGGGGCCCCCATAAGAGGGTACTACACTTGTGCTTTGGCAGACGCCTCTTACGGTACCCCAAGTAGGACCATCTAATGAGGGGGCCCCCGGGGGCCCCCCTGAGGTCCAGTTAGCTGCAAGGGTAGCAGCAAGGGGTACCTGACCAGCAGCAGGAGTTAGTATCTTAAGAGATCCCCGTGGGCTTGAAGGAGGGGCCCCTGGGGGCCCCCCTACCACACCGGGGGCATATTGGGGGGCCCCTTGGGGGGCCCCTCTGGGAATCCCTTTGGGGGCCCCTTGGGGGGCCCCCAAAGGGTCAACAGGGAGGAGGCTTGTGTCTTGCGCATCATAAGAAGATGTTGCTGCTTCTCCGCTTAGATAGAAGACAGGGTACAGAGAATCTTCTTCCTCAGCTGTCTCTCCAGGGGCCCCCCCTAGGGCCCTTGCTGCACTGCTGCTGCTGCTGCTGCTGCTGCTGCTGCTGTTATTGGGGTCACCTAAGGTCTTTTGTGCCATACCTGTACACCTTGGTACATCGGTGGGGCCCCCTAGGTTGGGGGCCCCCTTAACATCAGGTTCCCCAATTCTTTGTATGGGGGCCCCCATAGAGGGGGCCCCCCCACATAGGGCCCCCATGAGGGGGGGCCCCCCTATTATATCATCAGGCAGCAAATGTTCGCTATAAGAAGAAAGAACATAAGAAAAGTTTTTTATAGATAATTGTAATTGCTTAAGGGCAGCAGACACGTCCCTCATTGTGTCTGTACCCTTTATTAGGGGGGCCCCCCCCCTAGGGGGGGCCCCACGGGAAAGGGGGCCCCCACCCGAAACAGCAGCAGCAGCAGCAGCAGAGGGACCCTGCTGCTGCTGCTGCTGCAGCAATGCTTTTGCTATTACCTCTGAACACTCGTGGAGACGAGGAGATAGCTGCTGCAGTGCATATAGGGGACACTCCCTGCTGCTGCTGCTGCTGCTGCTGCTGGTGCAGCTGCTGCTACTGCTGCTGCTGCTGCTGCTGTTGCTGATGGAGGTATGGGTACAGATAACACGGGAGGAGAGCAGCAACTCAATTTCTTCTTTGCTTTCTTCTCTTGTCTGCTCTCTTGTCTCTCCTTCTGCTGTTGCTGCTGCTGTTGCTGCAGCAGAAGATATAACAGCAGGAGCAGCAGCAGAAGTAGCAGCAGGTCCGTCTTCGGTGCCATGTTCCTTCGCCATGCTGCTGCTGCTGTTGCTGCTGCTGCTGCTGCTGCTGGGTTGTCCACAAGACCCAGAGAAGGTACCATGGGGGCCCCCTTCTACACGTGGCGAACCACAATGCGAGCTGCGCTGCTGCTGCTGCTGCTGCTGCTGCTGTGGGGGCCCCTCCTCTTGCATCATCTGTACCTCATCTTCGTTATATGTGGGGCCCCTATGGGGGGCCCCTCCCCATATTTCTTGTGTTAATGCTGCTTTAGTACCCCTTTTATTATATGTATTTGCTGCAGCAGGACTATTTGTATGTACACCTGGATTAGGGGGCCCCCCTAAGCTGCTTCTTATTAGGTCATCAAGGGCTAAGACAGAGGGGGGTACCTCAAACTTCCTGCTGCTGCTGCTGCTGCTGCTGCTGCTGTTGCTGTTACTGTTGTTGTTGCTGTTGTCTGCAGCAGCAGCAAATAAGGAATTCCTGTTGCTGCTGCTGCTGCTGCTGTTTCCTAAGGCTAATGCCCTTCCTACTGCCTCACCAAAACTTGCCATCTGCTGTCTCCCTGCTATTGAATAGGGGCCCCCTAAGGGGGCCCCCAGGGCCCCCCCACCTGGCCCCCCTTGATCTACAGATAGACTTTGATAAGGAGTAGGGCACAGCAGCTCAAGGTCATCAGGAGAAGGGGGGGGCCCCCATATGAAGGGGGCCCCCTCCCTTGGACTAGGACTAGGGGCCCCCACATCTGTTTCTGTTTCTATTTCTTGCATAGAAGAACTTGGTAAACTTGTTGCTGATGTTGCTGTTGCTGCTGCTGCTGTTGCTGCTGCTGCTGCTACTGCATGCACAGGCAACGGGGGACTGCAAGATGGGGGTCTCCCTAATAAGGCACTGTGAGGGTCCAGCTTAGGTAAACGGGCGGGAGGCCCTAGAGGGGCCCCCAGGGACGCCTGGGGGCCCCCTCCCTCTCGCTGCACAAGAACAGTATGAGAATGGTATGCTTCTTGTGATGCAGTAGTAGAGGCGTCAGCGGCCCCTGCTGTTGCTGCTGCTGCTGCTAGTGCTGCTGCTGATGTTGACGCTGGTGCTTCTGCTGCTGCTGCTGTAGTTTTTGTTGCTGCGGTTGTTGTTGCTGCTGCTGTTGTTGCTGCCATTGACGTCTCCGTAGTTAGTGATGCTTCTATATTGCCCATTATAGAGGGAGGAAAGGACAGCTACAGGAGCAGCAGCGGCAGCAGCAGCAGCAAACTGCCGAGGTAACAGCGGTGGCGGAGTTGCAACAGCGGCAGCACGAGCTGCAGCAGCAGCACAGGAGTGGTGCTGCTTTTATTATGAATGTAAAAAAGGGATTTAATACATTATTTTAATTAAAAATAAAGAAAAAAGAAAGTATTTCATAAGAAGATGAATAAATAAAAGAGTTATATGACGCTGCTGATGACTACTTTATAACTGACACACCGTTGGGCTGTACGTACAGCCCAACAAGAAAGAAGAAATCAGCAATTTTTAGCGTATAAATGATGAAATAAATGAGAAAAATAACATTTATAACAAAATAAAGACAAAAAAAACAATTTATTTGCTGTATTATACCCTAATAATGCATAAACAGCAGCGCGTTGCTGCCGGTGTTGCCGTCGGTCTTCTCTGTTATGTACACACACACAGACAGTATGAATAGTATATAGTTGCATGTGCTGCTGCTGCTGCTGCTGTATAAAATATGCTCTGTATAATTCATTTATTTTATTAATTTAATTAAATTAATTAATTAATTTAATTATTTATGTAATATTAAATAAATAAAAAGAAGTAAAGTATACAAACAGCCACAATATTCCTCTCCCTCCCCTCGCCGTGCTGCTGCACTGCTGCTGCACGAGCTGCAAATACACCCCAACTACGACTTGCAAAAGGAGAAAAAAGTCATTTTTTATACAAAAAATAAAAAATAAATATTTAAATAAGTAAATAAATAAAAAAGGATATTTATTTTTATTTATTTAGATCTCCTTCCTCTGTCTCTGTGTCTTTTATACGTTTTTTTTTCTTTTTTTCTTTCTTGTATACACATAAGGATATTCTTACTAAGAAATAAAAGAAATAAATATATTTAATAAAGAAATAAATATATTAGGTAGATAAATAAATAAATAAACATAATAAATAGATAAGGAAACGGGCAAACAGAGAGGAATAAGCATATTCTTATAACAAAGGAATATATTATAATATAAATAAAAACAATATATATACACAAGCATAGGTATATGTATGTATATGTATATATACATATAGGTGTATATATGTACATGCATGTATATACATGTATATGTGTGTATGTATACATGTATATATGTGTATATATATGTATATATATGTCTACATATGTATATCTATGTATATATATGTATATATATGTATATATATGTATATATATGTACATATATGTATATATACGTATATATACGTATATAAATAAATATATATATGTATGAATTTGTATTTTAAGATGTACAACTACATGCATGGTTTATGCGCAGCAGCAGCAGCAGCTGCTGCTGCTGCTGTTACTTCCGTTGCTGTTGTTGTTGTTGTTGCTGCTGCTGCTACCGCTGCTGCTGCTGCTGCTACCGCTGCTGCTGCTGCTGCTAAATTAGCGTTGACTTATGAGCCCAACAGCAAAAGTGCTGATAGGGACTGACCACAGACGACAGCAGCAGCAGCAGCAATGACCCTGCCAGCAGCACAAAACCATGGCAGGTGCAGCAACAATAAATAGCCGTTGCAGCAGCAGCATCAGCAGCAGCAGGAGCAGCAGAAGCAGCTAGTGCAGCAGCACCCGTGGCACCAGCACCTGTTTCCTTCCCTAAGCCCTAAACCCTAAACCCTAAACCCTAAACCCTAAACCCTAGATTATATACAAATAAATGTATAAGGGATACTCTGGTCTTGGATAGGTATCCTCTTGCAGGATGACTAGGGTTTAGAAACATAAACCCTAAACCCTAAATCCCAAACCCTAAACCCTAAACCCTAAACCCTAAACCCTAAACCATGAGAGGGAAGGAGACGGGGATAAAGAGAGAAAGAGAGTACATGAGAACCACCACCACAACCACCATGAGGGGCCCCTAAAGGGTTTAGGGTTTAGGGTTTAGGGTTTAGGGTTTTAAACCCTCCTTGGTCAGGGAATATTCACAAATCGCCACGAAGAGGGGACATTTAATAAACCCTAATCTAGCTAGCTAGCTGAATGCCCGTGAGTAGCTAGCCCGAGCTAAACCCTAAACCCTAAACCCTAAACACAATCAACATCTGCAAGGTGTCTCTAAGTAGCCGGCTACGTGCAGCTACCTGCAGCTAGCTGCAGCTAGCTGGCTACTCAGCTAGCTGCAGCTAGCTGGCTACTCAGCTACCTGCAGCTAGCTGGCTACTCAGCTAGCTGCAGCTAGCTGGCCACTCAGCAAGTTACAGCTAACTGTAGCTAGCTGTAGCTTACCTACAGCTACCTACGTATAGCTACAGCTAGCTGTAGCTAGCTACGGCTAGCGAAGTATGGCTACGCCCTCTACACACTGCCGCCGATCTACCGAGCCCTAAACCCTAAACCCTAAACCCTAAACCCTAAACCCTTCCTTCGATTACTCCTTATATATTTATATGTTAATGCATAGATAAGACCCACCAAGATGTATTAGGGTACACACAGAGTGGCAGCTTGGGGGCCCCCAAGGGGGTCCCCTATGGACCCCCCCGACGGTCCCTCCCGGTGGGGGCCCCCCTCGTAGGGGGGCCCCCACCTGGAGGGACCGTCCAGAGATGGGGGGCCTCGTCTTGTTTATTTCCCCCTTGCATGCACCAAATTTATTTTTTATTAATTTTTTAATTAAAAATAAATTATTTAAATATAATAAACAGCGTATACACCCCAGCAAACCCTCATCCCTCCTTGGGGGCCCTTCTTAGGGGCCCCTATAGGCACAGATCGTCCCCGCTGTCCCTGCCTATCTCTCCCCAAACCCTAAACCCTAAACCCTAAACACTAAACCCTAAACCCTTATTTTGTAGGTGTTTACAAGATTGGACTCAAATGCTTGTGCTGATTAGGGGTTTTGCCTCCCCTTCCTCCTTCTCTCCTTCATCTAAGACCCTTTCTCTTCTTACCTCTGTGGGGCCCCTAGGGCCCCCCTTGGGGGCCCCCCAAGGGGCCCCTCGTGGGCCTCCTGGGTGTACCCCTTTGTGTGTGCGAACCGGAAGGGGTCTTGCAGGTACCTTTCATGGGGGGCCACTGGTGGGGCCCCCCTTAAGTGACCCCCGCCTTAGGGGGCCCCCTCTCTTTCCTCTTGGGTCAGCAAATACCTTTTGTTCTTTTACATCTTCTTTACGATTAGGAGGTGCATTAAGTCTAAGCAGGTTGTGTAGGGGGGCCCCCTTAGGGCCCTCCAAGTCCCCATTGAGTACTGATGGGGCCCCCTTGGTGCCCTCGAAGCCCCCTTTGGGTACTGAAGGGGCCCCGTTGGGGGCCTCCAAGTGCTCGTTGGGTTCTGAGGGGGCCCCTCCGGGGCCCCATCAGAACCCAATTGAGACGGAGGGGCCCCCCAAGGGACCCCCTAATACCCGTTGGTGGGCCCCTTATTTATCCTTAATGAGGGTGCATGCACCAGTAGGTACCTGGTTATTATATTGGCCTTGTGCCTTGTCTATATGCCTAGCTACCCCTGTTAATAAAGATTCTTATACTGCAGCAGCAGCAGCAGCAGCAGCAGCATTACCTTCTGCTGCTACATTATTAGCTGCTGCTTTCTTAGGAGGAGATAAAGAGGAAGAAGAACTATTAGATACACCACCAGCAGCAGCAGCAGCAGCACCACCACCACCACCATCAGCAGCAGCAGCAGCAGCAACAACAACAACAACAACAACAACAACAACACCAGCAGCAGCAGCAGCAGGAGGAGAAGATAATAATTCCTTCCCCCTATTAAATATAATATATAATTCCCTGCATGCATGCATATTATGTTTATTAGGTTCTTTTTTTATGCGTAGTGCAGGCTGTATAGTAAATGATCTATGGGATAAGGAGATAGATAAAAGGGTACAGAGAACAAGAAGGAGGCCCCTTGCATGCGGTCTAGTACCCATTAGGGGGGCCCTAGGGGCCCTAGTAATGCTGCTGCTACCTTCATTGCTCCTGCTGCTGCAGTTCAATACTGCTGCTGTATATCTTGGTCTTATGGCTGTACTTCCTGCTGCACTGTACCCTGCTGCTAAGCGCTGCTGCAGGGTACCACAACTTGTATTGGGTACTGTATTTAGTTGGGGGGCCCCCCTAGGCTTTGCTGCTGTACTGGGGCCCCATATCTTTACCCCTTTCTTACAATGGGGGCCCCCATACTTAGTACCCTTTACCCATAAGGGGGCCCCCCCTATAAACGGGGGGCCCCTAGAAACAACGATACCTCCTCCTGCAGCCGCGTCAGCAGCAGCAACACCAGAAACAACGGCAGCAGCAGCAGCAGCAGCAGCAGCAGCAGCAGCAGCAGCAGGAAATAGTATATCCTTATTAGAATTATCTCCTTTATTCCTTTATTTAGGTTGTTTTTTATGGACATTAATCTATGATAGTATATATTCCTTCCAAGACATAAAAGATGATAAAAAAATAGGTATTAATTCTGCTGCTGTTTCTTGGGGGCCCCCTAGGGCCCGTACCTATTTATCTGCTGCTGCTGTACTACAAGGGGTACTATGGGGCCTCGCTGGGGCCCCTATACTTAAGGTACCTCTTCCTTATTATATAGGCGTTGCCTCCTGCTGCTCCTTGCTGCTGCACCTTATATGGAGGACTAACCTCAATAATGGGGCTGCATGCGCTCAATCATTCAAGGCAGCAGCATGGGTGGGGCCCCTCCTTACTTCCTCTATACTATGCAGCAAACTATTAGAAGCTGTTGCTCCTCCTGCTGCTGCTGCACCTGCTGCAGCAGCAGCAACTATTGCTGCAGCACCTGCTGCTGCTGCTGTTGAGGGTCCTACGGCTGCAGCAACAGCTAAGGAAGCAAAGTAATAGAGGGGAACACTAAACCCTTTTTTCTTGTAAACCCTAGGGTTTACACTAAACCCTAGGGTTTAACAACAAACAATTCGCCTTCTTATTTAAGGTGTTTAGGGTTTAGGGTTTAGGGTTTGGGTCTCTGCACACCTAATATTATTTATATTTATTATAATTAGGGTTTAGGCTACTACTTACTAATATATACAAAACCCTAGATATATATACAAATGTCTAAACCCTAAACCCTAAACCCCAGGAAATGTATAAATAAACCCTCATTAGATCCCAACAGTCACAGTTAAGGAAAAGGGGGGGCCCCCAGGGCCCCCAAAGTCCTTCCTCTTTTTCAGGGGGCCCCCTGTCCCTGCGAACCCTGCAGGTGGCTTCTAGGGACCCCCGTAAACACCATTGGGGGCCCCCAGCTCTTGGGGGCCCCCCCTTGTATACGAATGGACAAAGGCCAATTGGTATTCTCATGGGGCCCCCCAAAAACTTCAAGAGGGGCCCCCAATGCTCCAACTGGGGCCCCCTTTAGGAGGCCCCTAGACGAGTACAGCGGGGTAGCGAGTACCCGATGTCCTTTTTCAGCGGGGCCCCCCGTACTTCAGGGGGCCCCCTAATACTGAAAAGGGTACATAGTACAGTAGCGAGTCCCCAAATTCTGTATTGGGGCCCCTAGTACTTCAGGGGGCCCCCAGTACACCAGGAGCACCCCTTAGTGCATCAGGACACCTTGCACCACTTAAGGGCACCACCAGTACTTCAGAGGGGCCCCCTTAGCACTTCAGGGGGCCCCTTAGTACTGTACGGGGGCCCCCTTAGTACTGTAGGGGGGGCCCCTTAGTACTGTAAGGGGGGCCCCTTAGTACTGTAAGGGGGGCCCCTTAGTACTGTAAGGGGGGCCCCTTAGTACTGTAGGGGGGGCCCCTGGGTAGGTAATAGACCAAATCGTTTCTTAAGAGCGACGCGTTGAGCAGAAAATTTATCATCGGGAGAAAATCGAGGAGGATGGGCAGAGAGAGTTGGCTGGCCAGTAGGAGAGTGGCTCTGAACGTAAACCCTAAACCCTAAACCCTAAACCCTAAACCCTAAACCCTAAACCCTAAACCCTAAACCCTAAACACTAATTTTGGAGGGAAGAGGGATGGATTCATAAAGGGAAGAATAACTCACCGCCAATGTATAAACCCTCTGGCCCTTCTCGTTAAGATAAAAACGTAGGTACATTTTTTCTTCAATTAAGAAAACCCTAAACCCTAAACCCTAAATCCTAAACCCTAAACCCTAAGAGGTCCCAGGAGGAGGAGAGGGAGGAGGATGGAGCAACAAACTTGGCTTGATGAAGGAAAGAAAAGGAATTTAAGACAAAATATTAATCCTTAAAAAAAATCTAAACCCTAAACCCTAAACCCTAAACCCTTAATCGTGCTGTATGCCTTCCAAGGCCCCAGGATCCAACGATCAGCCCCACAGCCAGGGCCCTAGTGTAAACCCTAAACACTAAACCCTAAACCCTAAACCCTAAACCCTAGTTGTTCTGTTTTAAACACTTAAATCTATTACTCCTCTAGATGTAATAAGATATGGCGAAGGATTTAGCGGTAAACCCTAAACCCTAAACCCTAGTCAGTAGTCTCGAAGCTGGGGGTGTTGCTGGGGGCCCCCTCTTCTATAGTAATGTGCAAACCCTAAACCCTAAACCCTAAACCCTCATTCTTGAGGGTTCACACCCTAGCCATGGAGTCTAACCAATCGACCTTATTTAGGGTTTAGTGTTTAAGGGTTTAGGGTCTGACAAAAGGGGATGTCTTGCAGCAACAGCAGCAACAGCAGCAGCAGCAGCAGCAAGAACAGCAGCAGCAGCAGCAGCAGCAGAACAATCCAGAGCTCTCTTAAGGATTTCTTTAGCAGCCCCTCTGCAAACCCTAGGCGCTCCTCTAATGGGGGCCCCCTGGGGGCCCCTATGGGGGGCCCCCAGGGGGGCCCCCTAGATAAAATTAAGTCTTCTATAATTGATTTAACTGAAGATGCAAATACCTCTTCGTCTGTGGGGCCCCCAGCAGCAGCAGGGCCCCCACCTTTGAAGGGGCCCCAACCTGCAGCAGGGAACCCCTCGTTGAAGGGGCCCCCAGCAGCAGCAGGGCCCGAGGCCCCTAAGGGGCCCTCCGCCTCTATAGAGATCCCGCAGCGGAGGCGGGTTCTCCCATGGGAACATCCGCCTGTTGCTGCTGCAGCTGCTGCAGCAGCAGCAGCAGCACAATATCCAGCAGCAGCAGCAGCTCCAGGGGCAGCTGCTCCAGCAGCAGCTTCTACAGCAGCAGCAACTCCAGCAGCAGCAGCAGTAGATGCAGTTGCTGTTGCATGCGCTGCAGCAGGACTCCCCTTAGGTACTAGCGGCAGGCCGCTGCTGACGCTGCGGCTGCTGCTGCCGTTGCGGCTGTGTGTTGCTGCTGCTGCTTCGCTGCAGCATTTGCTGCTGCCAGAGGAGCAGCAATGCATGCGCAGGTTGGCGGCCCTCTTAGGAGCTCCTAAAGCAGCAGCAGCAGCAGCAGCAGCAACAGGGCCAGCAGCAGTACATGCTGCTGCTGCATGCAGTGCTTCTGTTGATGCTGTAGTGAAGGAGGAAGCAAGTGGAGCAGCAGCAGGATCAGAAGCAGCTGCAACGAGTTCAGGAACAGCAGCAGCAGCAGCAGCAGCAGCAGAGGAGCCTCCTCTTAGCGAAGGGGCTCAGATGCTGCTTGCCCGTTTGCTGCTGCAGTTGCTGCGTCTTAGCGTTGCCCCCCAACAGCCCCCTGCAGCAGCACGACGTGTTAACAACAACAGCAACAACAGCAGCAGCAGCAACAGCAGCAGCAGCAGCAGCTCATGGATCCGTCTTCCTCCTCTGCTGCGGGTATCAAAGGAAGTACCAAGTGCTGCTGCTGCGCTGCGGGAGCTGCAGCAGCGCGAGCTGCTAGTGCTGTGGACACCGCACAATCTACCTGCTGCTGCTGCTGCTGCTGCTGCACCATTAGCAGCAGCAGCAGCAGCAGAAGCAGCAGCATGCGGCCGCTGCGCGGTATCCGTAGATGGTATATGTGCATGCACCTGGTCTGCTGCGTTGCAGTGTCTTTCTGCTGCTGAGGTGCGAGCAGCAGCAGATGCTGCATGCGCTGCACTAGGGGCCCACAAGGAGGTGTGGGGCCCCACAAGGAAGTATAAAGGAAAAGGGGAGGTACTTGCTGCGCTGCAGCAGCTAGCAGCAGGGCATAAGCCCTCCTTACCTGCCAGCAGCAGCAGCAGCAGCAACAGCAGCAGCAGCAGCAGACGTCTGGAAGAGTTCTTTGGGGCACCAATTGCACGAACAAACAGCAGCAGCAGTCCGCAGGGTGCAGCAACAGCAGCAGCAGCAGCAGCAGCAACCCGTGCTGCAGTTCCTGCTGCTGTTGTTGCTGCTATTAGGACCCTTCGTACATTCGTAGTCAATTGCTGCGGCTGCCTGGCGCAGCTGCAGCAGCAGCAGCTGCTGCTGCGCTCCTTGCGTCTCCTTTTTGTTGCAGTGCATGCACCGCATGCGGCAGCACTTGGCCCCACAGCAGCAACAGCACCAGGTTATGTAGTTGCTGCTGCTGACCGTCTACTGGGGGACCATCTGCAGCAACAGCAGCAGCAACAGCAGAAGCAGAAACAGCAGCAGCAGCAGCAGCACGAAGAGGAACTCCTTGCCCTTGCATGCGCAGCAATGCTGCCTGCAGTACATCGAGTGTCTCATCTTGTAGATCTGCAGCTAAGGAAGGTGCCGCAGTATTTGCAGCAGCAACAGCAACAGCAGCTGCTGCTGCTGCTACAGCAGCAGCAGCAGCAACAGCAGCAGCAGGAACTGCCACAACAAGATGCAGACGTGGCACCGCGCACCGATACGAACGGCCATAGCAGCAACAGCTGCTGCACTAGCAGCAGCAGCAACAGCAGCAGCAACACTCAGGCAGCTCCTGGAGAACTGGAGACAGCAGAGCCCAATGCTGCAGCTGCAGCAGGGTGCGTGCATGCATCAGCAACAGCAACAGCAACAGTAACACTAACAGCGGAAGCAACCCCAACAACAGCAGCAGCAGCAGCAGCTACAGCAGCAACCGCTGCAACAGGAGACCAAGCATCAGCAGCAACAAAGCGCGAAGACCCCTCTGCTTCCGCTGTAGCAGCTACCTCAGCAGCAGATACAGCAGCAGCAGCAGCAGCAACAGCTGCAGCAACACCGGCAGCAACAGCTGCAGCAACTGCTGCACGTGCAGCAGCAGCAGCAGCAGCAGCTCCATCAGGAGAAGCAATAGTAGCAGCAACTCCAACTCATGAGACAAAGCTCCTACCCGTGTGGCGCTGCTGCTGCTGCTGCTGCATGCAAATGCATACTTTTGGTTCTGCAGCAGCAGCAGCAACATCAGCAACAGCAGCACCAACAGCTGCAGCAGCAGCAACAGCAGCAGCTGCAGCAGGAAGAGCAACACGGCAGCTAGTTGTTGAGTTTGCTGCTGCACTCTTAGCAGAGGTGCGGATGTCTTATGCAGCAAGTGAGGCATCCAGACCAGCAGCAGCAGCAACAGCTGCAGCAGCAGCAGCAGAAGCAGAGGCGCTGCAGCTTGCTGCTGCTGC